TCCATCTCTCTGTCTTACCTGCTCTCCAGCCCACCCAGGGCTGTGTCCCTGCCCCTGCAGCATGCTCCTCCTGCAAGGGTGTGTGTGTGTGTGTGTGTGTGTGTGTGTGTGTGTGTAGGGTGCCATCCTCGATTCTGAGCACCTCGACAGCTCCTGCTGCTCCATCAGGGTTCACTCAGATGCTCCTTCCTTTGAGGACCATTTCTCTCCTCTGCTCCCAGAACTTGTTTTTCTTGCCTCTTATGACAGCACTTCTTGCATAGCTATGATTACTCACATAGGAATAGGTTAGGATGTATTCACACAGTAGAGCCCTGACTACTGACATTGAGTTAAACTTGTGGGGGCAGTTTTCATCACAGTGAGAGATGCAAAAGCAGGCGGTTGGTAGCTGGGGAATGCACACAGCAGTGTTATCAGGGAGGCAGGTTCTTCATGTGCTACTCCAGTGTCATGGGGTCTGGCTTGTCACCTCTGGGTCACAGATTGCTGCAGCATCGTGTCTGGATTCCAAGCAGGGAGCAAAAAAGTTGAGTCGGTATCTGTCCCTCTTCTCATGTAACAGCAAAACCTATTCCAGAACACCCTTCAACGGACTTTTGTTTATAGTTCACAGACCTGACTGTATTACAAACCATTTCAAGTCAGAAGGGAGGGAGACAGACAACCAGTTAGCTCTCCAGCCTCTGAGCAAAGGAGGGTGACAGGAGAGGGGGTGGTGTTAGGCGTCCAGCGAGCCCATAATGTCAACTACAGTGTCGCCCTTACTGAGAACCATCTCCTAAAGGCAGGAACAATCAATCGTCTGGAAGCTGAGTGCCGAGAACAATATTTGGTCCTGAGTTGACAGTTATTTGAAATCGCACACATATCTGAATGAATATATGCATATGATATACCGAGGATTAAGAAACAAAACATTTAAGAATTATTTTATTTTATTTTATTATTTTTTTTACTGAATGGAGAAGTCCGTTTCCTGGCCAGCAGTGTAATGCAGCACACAGGTGCATGCACTCAAGAGGCGAGGATTCGACGGAAGGAGGAGCTCTGGCAGCAGACGGCGTGAGCCTCAGACCTACTCTCTGAAGTTTGCTGAGTCCTGTGGTGGGAGGAGGTGGAGGGTAGAGCAAAGGACAAGGCAGACAATGCTTCGGGGTGTGGAGTGAAGACTGGCAGAGTGAGGGAAAGGAGAGACATGAACTCAAGGGGTGGGGCCTAGGATCGGGGGTGTCTGCAAGCCATGGCTCCCTGATGGTTTGTAAGGTTTTAGGAAAGACTATTTTCCTCAGGATGGGAACATTCCTGTCTTATGAGCCATTGGAGTTTCTTCTTCTACATCTTAATTCCCAAACTCTTCCAAAGCATGACCCTCACACAGTCAGCCTTCTGAGTGGTGTGGTGGTGCCTCCAGGCTAGGTCCCTGAGGACTCTGGGATTTCTCACATCACCTTCTGGAGGCCAGCATGGCACAAATGACACTGCATGGACTCGGTAGGGCTGGCCCAGCAGTGCAGGTAGGGTCGGCTGCCACAACGCCCACAGGGTGTGGTGGTGCACCTGCCAAGTGCACCTGTTGTGTGGGGGTACTCGGACTAGACCCAGGCTTGTGGTGAGCCCAGCCATCCCCATATTCACTGAATAAGGTAGTGTCTAGAAGATCTGGTGAGCATACGGAGGGGGTGTTGCTAGAATCCAGTCCCTCCACTTACTCACTGGGACCCTCCCTAAGTTGTTGTCCTTTCTAGACCTCACAGGACCTGCCACAGGGTTATTGTGAAGGCTGGATGAATAAATGCTTGGGAAACACTTAGAACATATGGTCTGCCCACTAGTTATGACTACTGCCCTGGAAACACTTTGGAAAACTCTACTCCTTATTCCTACCCTCATTATAAACAAGGGGAAACTGAGCCAAAAAGGTGTCAAGTTCAGGGCAGGGTACCGCCACATGTGGCCAGGACTTGGGCGTAGCTCTATAGTAGTTCTTATCTTACTACGCACACATCATGTTTGGTGTCAGTTTGCATCACTGGGACTGTCACCTGGAGGTGACGGCCACCTCCGCCGTGGGCGCATATGCCAGGAACGTGCGCCAGCTCTTTGTGGGACTGCTGGGTCACCCAGCTCTTCCCCCCTGGCCCCAGGACAGTCCCGAATGCCCCCGAGCTGGTGGTTTCATTGAACAAGCTTCCAGGGACAACCACCCCTTCCCTTCCTGCACGTCCCTGGGCCAGCCAGAAACCCTCCGTTCACAACAGGAAACCAATAGCTTTGTGCTATCAGAAGACATTTCCTTCACAGCGCAAAATGTCTGAGTAATAATTTCGAGCAGGCTTCACCCATTTCCAGGGGAAGGAGGCACATTCGCCCATCCCTGTCTATGCAGGGTCCTTTCTCTGGTGGGCAGCAGCGCGGCCTCCGGCGTGGAAGATGGGCCTCTCTTCCCTTTGCCCTGGGGCCAGCGTCCTGTGGGGCAGACTCACTCGGGATGGCCTTCCTGTCTGTGCAGATCAGAGTCACTGTGACTAATTTGTACCCCCGTCTGAACACAGTTCACAGGTGGCTTTGACAGTAAAAACCGGTGGAAGGAAAGTCACAGCTTTCTCTAAAGTCAAGCATCAATGTGGCAAGCAGGGATGAGCACCTGTTGGGGGCCACGGAAAGCCCGAGGACCTGATTCACACGCCACCTTGTTCTGCAAGGAAAGATGACTGTGAGGTTGTAGGGTAGAAATGAGCCTTGTCTGATCACGTGGCCCATCCCACTGTCTCAGGGTGGGAGTTAGGGCCCCAGGACAGATCCCACTGGATAGCCTATGAGTCCTGAAGGAGAAGGTTCTATTCCTCCTTAGGAATCACAGCCGACCTCTTCACATTAAGTCTGAGAGTGTTAAGAGACACTCTTGTCTGATTGCCCCCATCTTACAGATGGGAACGCTGAGGCCTGGAAAGGTAAATCATGTCTCAAACATGACAGAGTCGGGTTAGGACTCAGACTTCCTCATGTTCAGGACCCTGGCACTCCGAAGGATGAATGTTTCGAATCTCTGTCTTCAAATACTGTCTTGCAAAGTTCTTACGTGGGGTTTAGGGCTCACCTACAGCAACAGGACTCCTTGTGTGCTCCCTAAAAAAAAAAAAAAAAAAAAAAAAGCCGGCAGCAACTCCCAGCTTCCAGAGAGAATTTAAACCAACCTCTTTCTTAGTGTATTGGGTCAGGCAGGAAGCAAAGTATGGCCCTAGGCTTCTTGGGAGCAACCCTAGTTGGAAATATTTAATCATGAGACCCAGGATGTGTTGATGGGGAAGGGCAGGTGCCGGTGAGCTCACCTGGTGGAAGGCCACTGCATCAGAAGGCAGTAAAGTGCCCCTCCTGTCCACACAGCAGTGGCCATATGTCACCAATGGGGCTCCTGCTGGAGAGACAGAGCAGGAGCATCAGACAGCCTGCTTATGTGTGGTGAAGGCAGCTGGAAATGTTCAGTTTAGATTGCAAGGATGCAAAAGCCGTAGAAATTGGTGGTTACAGAAGCACACAGAGCAGCACTAAGATCAGGACTAGAAGCCCATGATAAGCCCCCTGAAACAGAAAGGGGGTGTCCTGGGTCTTGTGTGACAGGGATGGTTGTAGGACACCCAGTTGGTCCTATGGACTCTACCAGAGTCCCTCCCTTCCTTGCACTGGTGGAAGGTTCTTACCCGTCCTGTGGTGGGAAGCAGCCTGTGTGGATGGTAGGATGCAGGCAGGGACCTGTATTTCCATGGTTTTCATTTTGTGTGGTGGAATGTAGCATTTGTGACACATGCTTTTTCCCTTACAGTCCAGAGATGAATGTCCCTCTGGGTATCTCTGTAGACAAATGTTCTATCAACAGGATCCATGAAGGAACAAATGGCACAGGCAAACATGAATAATTTGAGAAGGATTTAATAAAGGGGGAGATTATAGCGGGGTGCAGGTGAGGGGCATCGTGCAGGGACCTGGGACCTGTACAGCCCAAAGAGACAAGGACAGGGGCCGGTTCCAGGCATCTGGAAGGCACTTTGACAGGAGTAATGACCTTGCTCATGACACAGTGACCTGAAGGCATGCCCACAGGGTGATAGCAGGAGAATAGACACCCTGGCACTCGTGTCTTCCTCTTGCTGGGCCTCCCACTGGCCACACCCGAGAGGAAGCCAGAGGCCAGGGAGCACATTGAGGCTGCGGGTGCAAGTGAGGCTCCTGGGTGCAGAGGAGAGTGGGGAGGGTGGAGGGAGATCCCAGGCACACTGACTTGGACTGGACAGTCTCTAGCAGACACTTGCTATCACCTATTCCATCTACTGTGCCCGCTGGTCCTTCAGGTAGAGGAGGACTCATCTCCCTATGGACCCCCAGGCCCTGGTGGGTGACCCAGGCCTGTGTGTGAGCCACATAACTGCCCTGTTTCTCTGGTGTGAGAAACACCCTCTGTTGGCCCTTGACATCCAATGGTCAGAAGAGGAAAGGCAGGACAAGGCAGGACCGTCTCAGCAATGGGAAGAGAGTGCTCATTTCTTCCGAAGGTTTGCAGCAGTTGGCTGTAGCCAACCACCATTCCCGGGGTGGGGAACGTCCCCGTGGGAGGGCAGCCCCGGCCCGGCCGTCACACTCCGGATGCACCGTAGTGGATTTCTCCAGCATGGAAAGTCCAGGAGAAAGGCCACGTCTTTCCAGAGAGTTATGAAGATGGAGCTACTTTGATAAATCATAAAAGTAATACATGCTCATGGTAAACATGTCAACATGAAAAATACAGAATGGCATACAACAAAAAATAAAATACTTTTGGTTCCCGCCCCCCCCACCTACCTCCCTAGGTTGTGGGGGCTCACTTACCGGTCTTGTGTCTTGAAATCAAAAACTATACCGGATTCTTCTATTTCTTTCCATAATTTTATATGCAATAAAAACACTTTTTTTTCAAGGTTTAAATAGACTTTATTGTGACAAGGAGGGCCTACTGAGTGGGGCCTTATAAACCAAAATGTTTGGTCCCAGGATGTCACCATGGAGAAATCAAGAGGTCATGATTGTAGAAGAGGTCACTGTAATTGAAGGACATGATCCATGGAAGGCCGGCCAGGAATGCAGCAGACATGATCAGGACAGGCCAGGGGTGGTCAGGTCACAGGGTGAGGGACAGGACAGCCCCCTTCACTCCCACTTCTTGTAGCTCTCCAGATGTGACAGGACCCAGCCCGATGGCAGGAGGAAACACAGGAAGCAGGAGGTGAGCCCAACGGCAACATCCATGGTCCCGAGCTGCTCCTGTGGCAGCTTGGAATGGATCTGGGCACGCTGCACCGGGAGCCGCTGGGTGAGGCCTGTTAGGCCCCTCAGCAGCTGTGGCATCAGCACAGACATGACCACACAGAATGACTCCAAAACACTTTTTAAACGTAGGTGGGATCGCATCGTGTGTGCTGTTTTGCACCTAGTTTTATTTTGTTTGGCTCTGGGCATCTGACCAACATCCAGGCTGTCAGCTAGAGTTATGGTCACTTTCTGAAGACCGGGCCATCTCGCTGAGGCCCCTCACCCCTCACCCCCCCCCCAGTCACTTGTTCAGCAGCCCCTTTGTCCTTGAGATGACCTCCCTGGGTCTTTGTTCTTTGGAACTAACAACAGGCCAATTAACACCAATCTGAATCCGCCATCCGGCACCATCCATTTGCTCCCTATTCAGTCTACTATCAGGTAATTATTGTCTGTGCTGGACAATGAGCACAGGACAGTAGGGACCAGACAGGCAGAGAATCTGCCTCCACTCCCCTCTGTGTCTCTAGCGGTGGTGGACATGGGGGATCAGTAAGCGGCTGTCTCCCTAATTCTTTCCTGGTCGGCCAGAGAAAGCCAAGATTTCTTGCTGAGTACAGCATTCTACTTCCTTAGAATTCATATTTAAACATCAAAAGGGCCTCCATTTATTTATTTATTTATTTATTTAATTATTTATTTATTTATTTATTTAAGACACAGAGAGACAGGCAGAGACACAGGCAGAGGGAGAAGCAGACTCCCTGTGGGGAGCCTGATGTGGGACTCCATGACCCCGGGACCTTCGGGTGATGACCTGAACCAAAGGCAGATGCTCAAACACTGAACCACCCAGGAGCCCCAGATCATAGTTCTTGTCTTTTCTTTTATTAATGTGACGTATCACGTTGATTGATTTGTGATTGTTGAACCACCCTTGCATCCCAGGAATAAATCCCACTTGGTCGTGGTGAATAATCCTTTTAATGTACTGTTGGATCCTATTGACTAGTATCTTGGTGTGTATTTTGACATCCGTGTTCATCATGGGTATTGGTCTGTAATTCCCCTTTTTGACGGGGTCTTTGTCTGGTTTTGGGAGTCAAGGTAATGCTGCCTTCACAGGATGAGTTTGGAAGTTTTCTTTTCATTTCTATCTTTTGAAACAGCTTCAGTAGAATAGGTATTATTTCTTCTTTAAACGTTTGATAGAATTCCCCTGGGAAGCCATCTGGCCCTGGACTCTTGTTTCTTGGGAGGTTTTTGATGACTGCTTCAATTCTCTTGCTGGTTATTGGCCTGTTCAGGCTTTCTATTTCTTCCTGTTTCAGTTTTGGTAATTTAGAAGTTTCCAGGAATGCATCCATTTCTTCCAGATTGCCTAATTTGTTGGTATGTAGTTGTTCATTATATGTTCTTAAAATCCATTTGTATTTCCTTGCCGTTGGTTGTGATCTCTCCTCTTTCATCCATGGTGTTATTAATTTGAGTCTTTTTTCTTTTTAATAAGTCTGGCTAAGGGTTTATCTATCTTATTAATTCTTTCAACAAACCAATTCCTAGTTTCATTGATCTGTTCTACTGTTCTTCTGGTTTCTCTTTCATTGAGTTCTGCTCTAATCTTTATTATTTCTCTTCTCTTGATTTTTCTTTAAATACATGATTTTTTTTAAAGACTGGCCAAGTTATTAAACAGGATTTTTATTACTTCTGGCACTCATCCCCTTATTTTTTTTTCTGGTGGTATATTGTCAAGAAGAAACCATAATACAACTTACAAAAATTTGCTTTGCAGACAAAGTAGCCAGTAAGGAGATGAATATCTGGGTGTTTGATTGGAAATTGTCTGGACAGGCGCAATCAGAGGGATTGTGATTCCAGTGTAAGGTTTGTCCTGTTCCCAGTGCCTAACATATGTGGGATCGGCCAGAAGGCCTGCAAAGGAGGCATCTGCCAGCTGAGTTCCTTTTCTGTGAAAATTAAAAAGGAATGAAATGTTCTTATCAAGCAGACACCCTCATTATTGATCATTAGTAAATACAGACAGATGAAAAGTTGTCTGTTTGAACAATAAGCAATTTAGGATCATGTCAGAATGTGATGCTTTGGGGAAAGGCCAAGCGAACAATAGGAATAATGTTGTTGCTTTAAGATTCTTTATAGCATTTCGTTTATTTTTTCTTAAATATTGGAAAGTATAAAGTAAAAAATATGACTTTAGACACACACACACACACACACACACACACACACACAAAGAAACCCAGAGGAAAATTAAAAAAAAACAAACAGACCAATTCTAAGCATATGGAATAGCATGTGCAAATGTCCAGGAGTGGGGGCCAGTACTGTATGAGGGAGGGAAGTGGAGACTGGAGTCCTGCCCAAGATAAGGCTGGAGGGACAGGCAGGTCAGACCATGGCAGCACCTTGTAGGCCACAATAAGAAGTTTGGGCTTGGGCAGCCCGGGTGGCTCAGCGGTTTAGCGCCGCCTTCAGCACAGGGCCTGATCCTGGAGACTCGGGATCGAGTCACACGTCGGGCTCCCTGCATGGAGCCTGCTTCTCCCTTTGCCTATGTCTCTGCCTCTCTCTCTCTCTCTCTCTCTCTCTCTCTCTCTCTGTCTCTCATGCATAAATAAATAAGATCTGGAGATCCCTGGGTGGCGTAGCGGTTTGGCGCCTGCCTTTGGCCCAGGGCGCGATCCTGGAGACCCGGGATCGAATCTCACGTCGGGCTCCTGGTGCATGGAGCCTGCTTCTCCCTCTGCCTGTGTCTCTGCCTCTCTCTCTCTCTCTGTGTGACTATCATAAATTAAAAAAAAAATAAAAATAAATAAATAAATAAATAAATAAATAAATAAATAAGATCTTTAAAAAAAAAGAAGTTTGGGCTTTATCTTGGAGCAGTGGCAAGCCTTTGGGAGGGCATCAAGCAGAATGTGCGTATGTGTAAAGTAATCAGATTTGCATTCTAAAAGATGTCCCTAGCTACAGAATGAGGGTTGAACTTGGGCAAAGTAGGGGGACACAAGAGGATGCATGAAGAGCCATGTCAAGGCTTTTGGAACATTCCAGGCAGAGGTGACGCTGGTGTGGTTCAGGGAGTAGAGGATGTAGTGCATCACTTCATCGTCTGCCCCTTGCCTCTGGATTCTTTGGTTGGTCCCATTTGTTTTGTTTTGCTTGGTTTTATTTTTTTCTATAACCAGCAGGTTTGCCACGAGCATTCTTACATATCTTGGTAACCTTTGGTCTGTGTCACTGTAAGGTAACTTTCTAGCTGTGGAACATGCATGGTTTCACAAACACACAAAATGTGGGTAGCTATTGCTCAAGTGCCATTCCCAAATGTTGCATCAGTTCACACACACACCGTGGTGAGTGCCAATGCCTGCACACTCTTGCTAGCATTGGCATTTTCTGCTAATATGAAGGATAAAATATGGCATCTCATTTTTAAAAATTTTCTTTTTAAAAAGTTACAAATGAGATTGAACACGTTCATTTGCTCATTCGGTCATCTGAGTCTACTTTTCTATGAAGTGTCCCACCCTTTGCCCACTTTTCAATCAGGTTGACAAGGCTTTTTCTTTTCTTTTCTTTTTTAAGATTTTATTTATTTATTTGTGAGAGACAGAGGCAGAGACATAGGCAGAGGGAGAAGCAGGCTCCCTGCAGGGAGCCCAATGTGGGACTCGATTCCAGGACCTCAGGATCACTGAGCCACTCAGGTACCACTCTCTTTCTGATTTCAGTGGGTGTAAAGAGGTGCCTTTTTGTGGTTTTGGTTCTCATTTCCTCAATGGCTAATGATATTGAACATCTTTTCGTGGGCTCATTTTCTATTTGTCCATCTTCTTTGGAGAAACGTCTATTTAGATCATTTGCCCAATTTTTAAATAGGTTGTCATTTTATTATTGAGTTTAAGAGTTCTCTATATATTCCAGATAAGAGCTCCTTATCAGACCTAGAACTTACAGCTGCATGCGTGTGTTCCTAGCTGAGCAGATTAGAATCCACCTTGGGACTCTGCTGTTGAAATCACAGGGAGAGACCTTTTGTTTTCCTGCTACCCACAAGCTAGCCGCACATTTATTTTAAGCATAAATTCAACCAGAGCAACTCCCACTATTCTTTCTGGGCTGTGAGGGAAAAAGCCACCTGCAGTTGGGGAGAAAGGACCCAACATGAAAAGAGGAGCCGAGGTGAGTGGTGGCAAATCAGTCAGGGCTGACCTGTGCTAAATGCTGGTGTCCAGCCAGATGTAAAGCAAAGAGACACCTGGATTTTTCAGATATGCAAGTCAATATCCTTGTATATTTTTTCTTCCCATAGCTTAAGTTGAGTTTTATCTCTTATAATCAAAAGTCCTGAACAGTCTAGGAAATGCGAGCATGTCTGTTCTACTAAGGGCTATTTAGTTTTAAAAATCAAAGATGTGGGGCAGCTGGGTGGCACAGCCCTTGAGCATCTGCTTTTGGTTCAAGGCATGATCCCCGGGTCCTGGGATCAAGTCCCACATCGGGCTCCCCACAGGGAGCCTGCTTCTCCCTCTGCCTGTGTCTCTGCCTCTCTCTGTGTTATAAATAAATAAATAAATAAATAAATAAATAAATAAATAAATAAATAAAATCTTTAAAGAAATCAAGGATGCATATTGGAATTTGTGAAGGACCCATTACAATATTCTTATGCTTTCTCTCCATTGACCTGTTAATGTATTAATAGATTTCCCAATATCGAACTACATTTTGGTCTAAGGATGGGTCCCCCTTGGTCATTAAGAAAACATATTTGCTGCCTTTTAAAAAAGACTTCAGAGCACTATTCCTAAGTACAGGGTCAGTGGGGAGGAGTCTGGAAACTAATGGGTCATCATCCACACCTAGGCGGCCGACAAAGTTTGTTTGGCCCCGGAGTGTTTCAGAATTGGGGGAGTCAAACCATAGCTCAGCTTTTCTTGAAAAGCCAGTTGTTTCAGTGAACCTGGGTTTCCATGTGGTGGACCAGCTGGGGTGGAGGGCAGTCACCTGAGCACTCACTGGCCACGCTCTGCAGTCCCCGGGGCCAGTGCTAGCAAGTGTGCACACCGGTCATCTTGGTC